CAATCTCGTTCCAGAGCCCGCGTTCCTCTTGCCCTGAGGGCGCGAGCAACCACGAACTCTGTCCTAATCCATATTTTTCWTCATTTTTTAACTCCGAAAAGTCATCGCCTCCAAACAATGCAAATTTTCTCACCTAAAATCTCAACTCGAGCAAATTTCGACCTCACAGCCTTTTAGAACGATAAATTCCCTTTCCACACATACCAACTTCAAGTCATCAGATCGCTTTTCTGGCCAGAAAATCCCCAGGGCAAAACAATTTGAAAAGCAAATTATTCGTARCCGTATGCTCAAATCAACGAACTGGACCCCCATAATCCTCATCGGTCAACGGAAAGGCGCACGTCCATTGGTCGGACGAGAACAATCCAACGCTACTAAAKATGTACTCACCGAGGGAGGACAGGTAAGCTTTTGCAAGAAATTGCAAACCGACCAATCGGACGTGCGCCTTTCCATTGTCATAATATGTATAAGTAGGGGAAAGTTCAACATAATGAGCTGAAACTTCACAGGGGTGTTGAGAAAAATAAGAAGAACACTATATTGTGAAATAATTTTATTCAGTTTTACCACTTTTATCGAACTTTTCGTTTTTCACTGCTAAGTCCAGTGCTTGGGCTACCTGTGGAGGAATCGACTGGATTTGCGACGCTTTTCCGTCGCAAATTATGCAAATTAGRTCAGTTTTGTTTTTGCCGCTTTAGAGCATCAAAATGATAAAAAAGGAGGTTTAGCACACAACCTAGTTAAGAAAAGGTATTTACACCTTTTTAAAAACAAAAATGTGTGAAAACATGTGTGGTTATGCGAGAAAAGGATGTAATAGGGCGAGCGCGCGCTGGCGACTTGAAAAACCGACTTGAAAACAATGCGCGCTCGCGTCATTTTCAGCCAATCACGAATCGAGAAATAACGCATTCCCCCAGAGTCTCTCACGCATTGWCATCCGCTGGATGGCAAAAGTGCGGGCTCTGGATACGAGATTGGAGATTGCTTCGCTCAGTGTCTCACGCATTCTTCCGCTGGACCGCGAAATTGCATACTCTGAGTAAGAGAGATTTTTTCGTATCAGAGCAACTCTGCTACGAAAATGAAAACTTCGAACATTTCGATCCGCAAMGACATATATTTACATTTTTCAGAATTTTGGGATGTGACCCATTAATTTTTCGTTCTGCTCAGTTGAACAATTACATTCAAATTTGGAGATTTTGGAACAAAGCCGTACTCAAAAGTATTTTATTAAGAACTCTTAAAAATGTAATAGACATCAGGGACCTTTTATATCATACAATTAATTTCCACCGCCTAAATCATCAACAATCCCCGACGAACCTCGTCCCAAATGAAGCCAGTAATATATCAATAAATTTGACAATGACATGACAAACAAATACACATTTCAAATTCAATCAAAGTGAGATAAAAAAGTCTCATATTAAATTAGCTTAAATTATTTCGATCATGCGTGTATACTGACCACGAATGTATGAGATGCTACACCAATTTGGAACCTTATTGATATTTTATACTATCAAGTAATAAGTTTAGACACATAGGTTAGTCTGTTGACATCCATCTAGTCCCGGTATAGTTTGCCAAATTCATGAGCTAAAATCATTGTTTAAGTGTACGTTTTATTGAATAATCGCAGAGTAAATGTTTTTCACATATCATTCACATATATAGCCCGCACTATTCTCATAAAATACCTTTAGTAAACTTGGAATATAAGATGAACTTAACTATTTCTGTATCTGATTTACAGTRTACAATTCTTACCTCTGACACTGCCATAACCACTCAGAGATAACAATAAGTCTGCACTTCGTCGACGTGTCGAAGTCGAAGTTGTCTTGGTTATTTCGACTGATTCTACAGCGAGCATTATTCGTCACTTGCCTTTACTTAAAACAATAATAAATCGTGTTGTGCGGAAGGACTTCATTCACCACTATAAAACTGGTTATGACATACTGTGATTCACGCCTATAGCATCACGAATTCCAACATGCTTTGAGACGTCGGTAACGCGTGTTATGTTACTCGATGACCGGTTTAATGATGGCGGGCTAGTGCTGATAACAAGATTCTAGAACTATCATRTTTAACGTTTCTCGTCCTTGAGGTCTTTCTTGCACATCGAATTTGCCTTTGGAACTTTGGCAAATGTACATGGTCTGAAAATAGCATGAGGAGGAAAAAAGAACAGATTCAAAAATATATAAGAAATAAATTGAGTGTGCAGATCGAGTCTAAAAAAACTAAAATAGAGATATTTTTRAATAGATATTTTCTGTAGCATGCGCAAGGTGACTGAATACAGCTTGTCATCACAAAAAACGCTCTTAGAGCTCATATTCGTGCTTTATCATAGAGCAGACACATGATAATATGACGTCACATTCAACCTCGTTCCCAGGCACTTTTCCCCGCTTTGATTGCGGTCAGGGGCTGCCCTGGGAACGAGGTTGCGTCACATTCGRTGATTAACAGGAAAGTTGACAATTTCAGCTGCAGTTTCACAGTTTGATTCCCAATTTCCCAAGCTCATCATTGACATTGAGCCAAAATAATAACTTATCACCTTATCATGGTCATGTGATGCGTCACGCACTTTACGTTGGCAATGATGGCCTTGGTTTGCTTGAAAAGGCTTTTTTGACATAGAGTCATATTAGAGGTCTAACAGGAATTTATTCCGAATTCACGTGATATATGAAGCCACATACTATGATTAATTTTCCCACGGTCACGTAATGTGTAGCGTCACTTGTCGTGAAAGTGAACCATTGTGTGACAACACGTGAAGCCTGATGCATCTATTAGTCTGTTTGATCTACCTGTGCTTTCAAAAACTCTATAAAATGGGAAAATCGGTTTAAGACCCCACCTAATGGAAAAAAACCATGTGAGTATTCATTCAGAGATTAAGTTTTTAAGCAACAATCAATCAGGCAACATGTTAATCTTATCTTGGATACGATTGACATGTAACATAATGGAACCTCCACGACGATCTTTTCCTCCCTTGTTGATGTTTTCTAATAGGCAAGTAGATATAGACAAGAATATATGATGATATGCAATTGGAGAGTTTATTGAAATWACTTAATCATCTTAATCAACTATACCGAAAAGTGACATCTTAGACCAGCTGAGACTAATATTTCATAATCATACGTAGTTAATGTAATATGTACAACATTGGATGATATTATGGCATTTTTTTATGAAATGGAACAAATGGTGAATGGGGATATCCTCCGGAGTGCGCCTCGAATTAAGTGCCATATTTTAATGGTCATTAAATTAGAGGTCATTAAAATGACCTCTGAAGAAACTTATCCCAGAACGTAACTACTCTATTTGATTACTGAGACAGAAAACCATGAAAACTGTGTAGGGTAATTTATTCCCAACCCTCTAAATCGTGTTTTCAGGGTTGATACTCTGTCGCCGTTCTCTCCAACAAACATAKTTGAAATAACTTTCGTAGTATGCAATTTCAGCTATTGCAWGCACTGAAGAAGACCTTTTAATTAWTTTTTACTAACGGTGYCGTGTCGGGAAAATGTTCACATTACGTTAAATAAAAATATCCATTTTCTTCTATGATTTCTATGCTTTAGAACGTACATGTGTAGGTAATAATGGGATAAATACAAAACGCTCTTTTTCGCCATGTTTGATACCCATAACCTTTAATTAGAATTTATTGATATTGTTCTTTTCAATAATCATTAAGAATAGAGAAGCTTACAGTTGTCGATGAATGATGGGTAATCGGGACAAGTTAACTAAGAGACGATGGGGAAAGAGATAATTTTTTCGCTATATTTCCATTCTTCAGCAAATTTGTGGGACCAAACTTTTATAGTTGGGGGAGAAACCTGTATTCCATGTATTGTGGTGTTCTTGAGCCAAATGAGCCACATATAAACAATGATTATTAGAAGGACGGAGGCAGTAGATTTGCGATAAGATTCATTGAAAAAAAAACGTGCCCCAGCAAGAATTACACGATCGGCTCAAAAAMWGCCACAAAACATTGAACAGTCGATTATCAATCTACAGAAAGAGTTTGGTTTGGGATGTTTAACTGAGAAACGGAATATTGCKAAAAACGYATCTCTTTCCCCATCGCCTCTTAGAAATTTTGTCCTGATTACCCATGATGCAACAACTAGKGCTAACTCCTCTATTGATGTCATAAAGGGCTCATTGGGATTTTGACCGCAGTTGTTTAACCATATGCTGATAGTCCATAGTCGATCAAACACGAACCAACTATCTCAATGCAAACAGTGGCACCAACCAAGCACACTAAAGTTCTCTTGTTGTTTTTAGCATATGACTTCATTCGACAAATGCACTCTTGCACTGTTATTAGCGGGYTGCAGTGACGAATTTCCTTAAAGAATCTTTCTTCAAAATTCAAAAAGAGTCCCAAGTAGGTCTCTTGCGGTTCCTTTTTTTCAAGGCAAGGGTTTGTCCACGGAATTTCTGCAAAAAAAAATAWTRCCCGTCAACCAAAACACATACCATTCTGTGAGTTTGTGGGGTTCCTGTGGTGACTACTAGATTGRAAGTATCTCTAAGAAAACGGGTTTATAGATATAGAGCTCCAGTATCGTTGCCTTAGCTGTACCTCCCCATCAAATCTAATGGATGTTCTGTTCGCTTGAATATATATGTATAGGAAATCGCACAATTTGGAATTAATAGTCATGAGTAATGCTTGAAAGTCCTCATAAGTGCATGAGCTACGAGTGACCATTGTAYGAGAGGTTGTGCGATTTTTTGTTTATAGTACATACACATGAAACAAAATTTTATAAGGACAATWGACGCTGTAATTGTACTCYTCTCGACCAATGAAAAAGTATTATTTTGTTGAATGTACTATAAAGCATGAAATATATCGTATTAATATTATGAGCAAGCAAAATGTATTATAGTCTATTGTGAGATCGGAAATATGTCAGTAAAGGAGAGTGGAGAAATCACGTCATCACATTTTTCAAATTCGACTGATTCCTTTGGTTGAGCAGTTTGGACATATTATATGGAGAATTTATCACTGTTCATCGTCTTTATGTTTGTTTTGTGTGGAATCTCTGTGGCCTAATCATTCCTACTACTTTGATTATTGATTACGAGTTGGCTTTTAGGGAAGGGGACATTTTRGACSGGATGGTCACGCCTTCACTCCYTTGMGTATCATGAACGACTGTCATTTTCAACAATCTCATTCTTCTAAGTCTCATTTCAAAAACCAAATATAGCATAGTAATGAAGCAAGTAACAACTACTCGAATCTATTATCTATATATGTAAAAACAATTTGATTCGTTGTGCCCCGTTATAATGGATGATATACCTTCGCAKAGTACGCCTTGGATGTCACTCGCCTGTGTCGCCTTGTTTCGTTCAGTCTTATAAAACCTTTCCAAAAGTTTGAAATATTTGTTTTTGATGCATTGTAGAATGGTGATATTGGCATGGGTATAGCAGGAATGACCACAGGAGTCGTTGATGGAGGGATGGGACATGACATCTTAAAAAGGCAAAGCAACAAGTAATTAAAAAAAGCAAAAATATGCCAAAATCATCCTGTATTCACATATCTTTCTATCGCGGTATGCAGTCCTAATCAGCGAGAAAATTTTGCTCTAGTCAGAAATATAYTGACTTAGAGTTATTCAAACATAATTGAAATATTGTCTACACTACATGTTGATATCATATTCATATATGTTAGCGATCAGAATCTCTTCAAATCTCCATACAAGATATATTATAGATGAACAGACAGACAGCCTGACGGACAAACATCACTACAGATGGGCACAAGATAGAGACAGAAGAAATTAAGCAAACTATAGAAATTAAGCACTTAATGTGRAAAACTGAAAAACGTGCAGTGTCAACTATCTAGAAATGTTATAAAAGGGGCTTAATAGCTATTCAAGCTTATTCTGCATTTTAGCATCGGTCCTTTTTTATTTTGAATTAAGAACTCACTACATTCAGTATTTTTACTTTATTGATTTTCAAAAAGTTCGAACGAGGAAATGGAGAAGGAAAGAAGAAATGAAAGATGGAASTGATGAAAGAACGAAGGAATGAAAATAAATTGAAACAGTGTATGCACGACGGAAAAAATGACGCAAGGAAGAAAGGAAAACRGAAGAAGGTGAAGATGAAGARTTGCCAAGAAGAAAGGACGAAAGCCCGAGGAAATGTGAAAGAATATACGAGAATATTAAAAAAGATGAAAAAGAAAATGACAAAGAAAATGATCTATATAATACACCAATCTTAGAACGGAAAGTAATAGAAAAAAAAAACAACAGAAAAATTACCATGAATTTCATTTTTCAAGTTTTCCAACGGCAGTAGCATTGATTTAATGCTGTTTTCAATCATGGAGAAACTTGCTTTCACTGAATCTGTTTTTCTTCGCAATTCTTCTAAAACGTCACCCTGGGTTGACGCTGGTTCCTTTTGATATGAAACTATTGGGATAAAATTATTAATACACAATATTTTGATTTAACGGTATCTTTTATCGYTATTGCAATGAAATGGTGATTCAATTTTTTCCAGCCCCAAAATTCTGTTGTCCTGYTCTGTTGTTACCGTGGAGAACGTTAAATAGAACAGAACAGAACTTAACTGAACCGCATGGARGGMCGTATTTTCACGGCCGCGCACTCTTAGAGCAAAGTCACGTGATTTTGCTGAACCCGTATSGACAGTCAGTTTTCCAGCTTCTTAAAATGAGTCATCCTAGATCTCATTTCTTTCAATATTTTCTTGTGTAGAATTGTTTTTCWCTATTGAAAATCGAGTCAATGCATGACCTTCTATAAAAATCCTGGATTCGCCCCTGATGTATTTGCTGATGCAGAAGCGTCCTGCATACTGATAATATGTATAATCATATAGAGGATATTACATGGTCGCGCGGAGATACGGATTTTATCTTCGAGTGTTGAAAAGATCTCTCACGAGTGAGCGTAGCGAAGAGAAGATAAAATTCGTATCTCCAAGCGACCGTGTAATATTCTGTTTATCATATAATTAAATATGAAAGCAAATTATGTTGTGAAAATACCTTTTTCTTTCTTCCAATATATAGAGAAACCTCGAATGTGTTATTTTCACTAGTGAAAATATCAATTTTACGTAATGGAGAAATATAGGTATTTCATAGGTAATTATATGATAAATATATATATACTATCTACCATGAGTTTTTTACTTTTGGCAAAGCAATGATATAAATATTTCGGTGTGCTTCACACAATATATATAACTTAGATACTGGTTAACTCCTCT